ACAACAGCACTGTGGTCTCAGGAGTTCTTAAATGATGCCACTGACATTGTCACCTCACAAAGAAATGAGCAGACAAAGCCAAGGAAGTGTTCTTTAAAGGGGTTCCAATACCCCACCCAATACGAACCGAACACTGGCCAGTAGATGACTTCCCAACATGACCCATCACCATCAGAATAGGAAAATCTCAGCTCAAAATGATTTATGTTTTAAGGTAATCTTCAAAAAGTACACAGCTTTAATATTTTTTAATATAATGAGAAACATAAAGATGTGTTTTCATTTTAATTGTACAAAAATATTTTTATACTCAAACAACTATCAGCTACACACACAAAACCCGCTAGCTATTTAACTGGAAAGGAGACCATCAGATAACCTTTGAAAATGAAGTAATTCCATGTGCCAAGAACATCGACGGTGCTGCTGATTTATATGGAGTTCGGAAACACACACAATATACAATAAAATTGGTTCTGGACGGAATCAATGACAACTTAAAATATGTCCGAGAAACACTGCAACTAAGATACATTCCAAGTTACAAAAACAGCAAAAGGTGCTAGATCGATGTACTGAATAAAACTGAGAGCATGCTTACAAAGAGAAGAATCAAACCAGAAATCACCGACGTACTTCTGTTCCCAGTGAGCGAGGCTAACAAAGGAGCCACACAAAGGCTGTAGGATCCCAGCACCAGCAGTGTCAGTAGAGTAGCATCGTAGTGCCTCTCTGAGCCGGCCGGCGGGGTGAGTGTCGAGTTGATAAAGATGTTGGAAGAGATATCCGTTTCTGTGCAACTGCGAAATCCTCCTGGTACAGTCATTTAAATGGGTCAGAGCAAGCTCAGGCAGGAAAAGCTGCAGCCATGTTCGCTCCCATATCCTTCACGCTTGCTCTCAGTGAATTGGAATCGGGGGGCGGTATCTGTAAGCTCCAGGGCACTGCACAGAACAGATCAGACCAGCCAGCAAATCCCACTGAGAGAGAGACTCACTGATCTGGACGCTTACTCTGCAGCAGGGACACATCGCCGCTCGGCAGGCTCGGTGGGTGGAGGGAAAAGCCCTTTGTTACAAGACAAAAAGGAGAGGACAAAAGCATTGTACACCCTCCTCAGGAGTGTCAGCCTCGCCACGGAACCGGTGGCCATGTCAACATGGCTGTCAATGGGAAAGGCTGGGTGGTGACACTACAGAGCGTCTGCCTCCAGTGTCACAGATTCCGGCGTCGCGGGTCCCCCGAGAGCACGCTGCTGACGCTGCTGATTGTTAACATTCGCGTTGCACACAGAGGAAGTGGCAAGTGCAATGGCCTTGACATAACACACGTGCGAATCACCTTTCCAAACGCCTAATTCTCTGCTCCGTGCGAGCCCCTCTGATTTCATGCTACAACGTCAAGTCCAGACAATAAGCAGAGAGGAATCCCGTTCTATTGTAAGTAACATGTTCCGGCGTTCCTAGAGTTCTGGTATCCCGCTCCTTCCTAACACCAGGCGAGCTCCTGCTGCTAAGTGAGCTCTCGGAAATGCGCTCATTAATTCAATGCCACATCCTCCACAAGCGCGTCCTCAATTCTGTTCACATGCTGGCTGAGTGCCCCTGGCCCGGCGACAACCTCTCTGAGCCTGAATTACCTTATACATATAATCAATTACAATAGAAATTATTTGAGAGAAAAAAATGAAATAGTGTGTGGTAACCCTGTAATATGCTCCGCTACCCATGACTCTGCTTTGTCCCTGGCCCCTCACCAGAAAGAAGAAATTGATCCCTCCTTAAAGAACTCCCCTCCTCCCCCCACAACCATACATCTTGTTTCATCTGCTATTCTAGTTATCCATGTACATATCTTCTTTCTTCTCATCTCCTTTTAGAGAAGCGCCATTCTTTTATAGCCTGTACCTCTCATTGCATCTGTCATGATGCCTGCACATAGCCAGGCACTCCTAAATTGTTCAAATTAACTAAATTTGTGAGAAAATTTAAATGAGCAAAGAAGTACCAAGACCAAACACACCTTTTGAATGAAAGGGAGCACTCAATTAATTCACCCTTTTTATACACAAAAAACAGAATTCACATTAGCAACATTAAAAATATCCTCCTGAATTTAAATTACGTAAAAGTAGGCTTGAAATTCTAATATACTAGTCATGTTACACTGAATCCAGCATCCAAAGATTCTAAAACACACATCCACAAAATGTGGTCTTTTACAAAATAAATGGAGCTGAAGTTTTCTTTTTCCTCGTTCCCAGTTGGGTTCCACTGGCCCCCTAGATTGCTTTCTTTCCTTAAACAAACCAAAAAATACTATCACTTCAAATGACACACTTTAGAATCCCTATTATAAAAAATACCAGGTCTCATTAACACCAATATTTCGATGTTTCATAGCACATTCATCAAAAGAGAATGTTGTTGAAAGAATGTTTTTCCTGCCAAACTTTCGAAGCAAAAAAAGGGGGAAAAATTGGGAGAGGAAGAAGCAGCAAGCATATGTTCTCATAAATCACAGAGCCAAAAAGTCTAATGATGATTTGCAGGGCACTGGTTTTTCATATAACGACCGTTTCAACAACCCCCAAAGGATGACAGACATATGACCGACTCACAATTACTGCTGTAAGCGTTCAGGTCACTGTGGGTGCTGGCGATGGAGGAGGGGCTGCCTGTCCGCCGGAGCGCAGAGCTTTTCAAGGACGCGTTGGACTTAGGAAGCGGTCGAGGCAAATTCACCCAAGACGGCTGTGCAGTTTTCAAAGATGTAGGTTTTCCTTGAGGGGTAAGAAAAAAAGAAAAAAGTTTCTACTGCTATTCATTTTGAAAGTTTTAAGCTTATAAATGCAATCCCCTGCACTAACAACTGACTGACAATGTAAAATGACTATTCCTAATCATGTAACTTTAGTTGAAGTCTTCACCTAGACTTATGTATTGCTGATTTATTAGAAGCAGACGAGCAGAGATGATGGTGAGGCAAGCAGGCTGGCTGTAACCAGGGAACCTCATGTACTTAACTCGTGTGTTCTGTGATACAGTGGTAGATCAGAAAGAGCCATGCGAGATAGAAGCTTCTGGCAAAGTTAAAATCAAAGAATAAACAAATTGATTTAACTCCCCCCCATGCTGTTGACTGAAAAGTAAACAAATGAGCCCATTCACACACGAGGCTTCCATTAAAAAAAAAAAAA